TACGTTGCGGCAGTACCCTGAGGGACATAGACCCTATGAAACGTACCCTGTGTACGGTCCGGTATACCGCAACGTACCCTGATACTATCTAATATGCCGCACCGTACCTCGCCTACTCCACTAACGAGTCTAGTTAGTCGCCTACGCCTACTCCCTAACCCTAACCCTAACCCTAACCCTAACTCTAACCCTAACCATATCAAATAGTTACCAGGGTACGTTCCGGTATACCGGACCGTACCCAGGGTACGTTGCGGCAGTACCCTGAGGGACATAGACCCTATGAGCGTAACGTGCAGACGTAGAGACGCAGGAAGGATGGTGAGCGATGGTTGCTATGAAGGATGCGTCGTCATATGTGATGCCACCGCGCGAGGCAGCTGCCTTCATCGCTGAATCGGCCAAGGACGTAAAGATACTGCCAGACGGAATGGAAAAGCTAGTACACCACGTTAGACGCGATAACGTAGCCATAACAGAACCAGTCTAACCGCTCTGACAGCTCTACACTATATTGTACATGTACACTATATCGTACATAGATCTATACTATACTGTACTATAGATCTGCTTGATAGTGAACGTTTAAAAGATGAAACACTCAATATCTAGGTTCAAACACCAAGTAGATGCGTGATAGCAGCTAGGGTGATCTTTCACGTAGCTAGACTATCGTATATATCTACCCGCCCAAAAGTCGTGGCAAAAGTTAAGTCACTTAATTTGAGTTTAAGAACCGAACTGAGTTGAGCAGGCAGATATCGAACAATCCGACAAAACTCTAATCAACTGAAAAACAGAAAGCACTGAGTAAAGTTCACGTACAATCTGTTTTACTGTCATATATTTTTGTTTGCAGCTTGCAGATGTGATGGGAAAAATAAGCACAAGGTCAATGAAGATCAACTTCCAGATTTCAAGCCGAAAACGGCTGACATATGGCAGCAGTAGACTGGTAAGAATTGTGCTTACTACACGTACGTCGTATAAGCAAACCAAAGCTTCACATTTGGGGTACAGATTGTAGGTAAGGTGTCCAGGTTTGCAGTCCACAATATATGCACGATCCACTAATACTTGACTTAATACAATACAATTTTGACCAATCAGAGAAAACTATGCTCTGCGGCAAATTCAGCGCTCAGTAATGCTCATGTACCGACCATTCCTGGTCTTCTCCCTACGAAAAAACGCTCTTAGGAGCATATCTAACTAGAGCACTCGGATTCCGCCACGGCAGCTCAATTCACTCATTGTAAAAAAAATTATTAAACATTTAATTAAATAATTAATTGGATCCGGATCACCACCAAAATGCAATCAATTCTAAGTTACCCCATTTCTGACCTATCCTGAAAATTTTATCATTCCCCACAT